CCTCGTCGAGTACCAAAATCACGTGGCACGTTACTACAATGCTAAAGTCAAGACCCTAGGCGTTCAAGGTTAGAGATATCGTCCTCAAGAAAGTATTGCAACATGTAAGAGCTCTTGAGCCTAAATACCAATCACTTTGCTGAGCCGACCATGTAGCTTAACAAAGTGAGGACCGAGGTTGGAGGTGATTTCTCACTAACCATGTGATAGTCCCTGACACGATAAGAATGACAAGTCAACATGAATCAATATATAAAGGCTCATAACCTCGGACCTTACTTACTAGGTCGAGCCAAACTTATCCTCTTTTCGACCTCCTTAACAAGTAGGTCGAGTCGACCGTACCTTTTATACATCGGCAGATTAATCTACCAGTCTTGTCGACCAAATGACACTCTGTCAAGATCAGTTTTTCGACACATTCCACGACAACAAGCCGTGATTCCCGAAACTTTAAAGGACCGTTGGAGGCTTGTCGGACCCTAATTGGAAACTACGCCTATAAATAGAGACCTCTCGCCTCATTCCAAGGTAAGCAAAACTATATTATCTCTTGGATATAGTTCGACCTGTCACTGACTTGGACGTCAGAGCGTTTTCTCCTTTGCAAGTTTCTCACATGCTAGAGTCCAACTCATTTGTTGGGTCAACTTCTACTCGAGCCAAGGTTCGTAGATTTGGTCAAATTCTTGATCAAACATTTTCCATCAAGACATGATTAAAGCATTGGATAGGTTAGCAACAATATGATCTTACTTTTCTTCGTTTCTAAATTTAATTGTCATGACTAAAATTATGTAATCCATTTCATTTTTATCTTACAACCAAATCCTCGTGTCACGAGCTTGCGAAGGCGCTATGTAAGTCCCAAAATCCTTATCTAAGTCCAAAAAACCTTGTAATAAAAATATTTCTAAGACCAATAAAAAAAACTTGGATAATTTGGCATTATTTGACTTTTAAATAAAATTTATTTTTTCTTACCCAATAAACTTAAAGTCCTTTCATCTTTTGTAATTGACTTTAATAATTACTAGAGTAAATATTAGGGAATGACTTTTTTCTAGTTCAATAATTCCTAGAGTAAATATTAGAGGATGGATCTTAATATCTTATTCATTAAATTATTTTCGAATTAACATCTTTTTTGTCATATAGAAAAATTAAGGTGACTTCCGCAAAACGCCACATCATTATAAATTGAATCAATTACCATTTTCTCTTTTCTCTCTCTTTTATAATGGAAGTAGAGTGATTCATCCATCACACGGGATTGGAATTTTATTACTTTTGAATATTCAAAGTCATTATCGATATCTTAGACTAAGCACGGGCTTTCTCAAGCAACAAGAAAATTTAATTTTAACTAAAATTTCTAAATCTAAAGTTGGGGACTTAATTCCCTGAGAAAGTGCTTTTTCAAGTAATAAGAAAATTTAATTTTAACTGGAAAACTATATAAATTAGATGGAAAAGTTTGAGAAAAATTAGAAAACTCTTTTTTCTCCTTAATTGTTCAAAATTCATTTACGTAAAAAATATATATATTGAAGTCGGACCCCTTGTGTGTATTGTTTATGTAATAATTTGTGTATATGAAGTAATATTAATCTTATATAATTTTGTGAAAAGCTTTAAAATATATATATATATATATATATACACTTAAAACTTTTGTGTAAAAAAAAAAAAAAAGGATCTTGCGTGATTTAATCAAATTCATGAGCAAGATTAATATATTAATATTAATTATGTAGGCTGGTAGGCTTTGGAGTATAGACTAGAAAGAAATAAAATATTTCTAATCATAATATTATGAATTATTTTGTTAGAAGACTAAATTGCCTCTGGCTGGCATTTAATCAAAGTTTTTATTAAAGTCTGCCTTATATCTTAGGTTGCTAACTATAAATGTAAGGATTTAATATTTAAAAAATGATAATGAAAGAAAGTTAATTACACACGTCGTTTTTTTTTTTTTTTTTTGAGCCATTACGCACTTCGTTCAATTCTTACGATTTAATTTAAATCAGCATCCAAGTTAAATCATCAATTATGTAAATCGTAAAAGGAATTATTAGTTTTTATCAAAATAAATATTTTTGTAAATAACTAATAAAATGAGTTGTGTGGTTATGTTGGCCGTTTTATAATAACTTTCATTTTTTAAAATTATATTTGATTTCTCACAATTTTTTTTTCTTTTTTAATTTTTACCTTCCAATGGAAAGCACATTTGAATCTTTTTACCTGAGTTTCAGAAAAATAAATAAATAAATTTTTAAATTTTTAAATTTTGATTTAAATTTTGAAAATATTTTTAAAATGTGGATAATAGATTTATAGACTTGATTTTAAAGAAATAATGAACGTTATAGACTAAAGTGAGCATAGCTCAGCGATAATTAGTATATATCTCCAACCAAGAGGTTGTGAGTTCGATTCCTCATCCCAAGTTGAAATTTCAATAACGATATTAATGATGATAACTTGTTAAAAGTGGGCCGTGTTTCTCTTTTCTTGAGAACATTCTCAAACTTACATAAAATTTTTGGAAACAACTAAAACAAGTTTCTTCTTTCCAATTTGTTCCAAAATATAAATAAAATGCTTGTTTTATCATACTCGAATTCATGGATGTTGGGACCATGCAATTCATTTTTCTTTATTAAAAATGAAGAAACAAAAACAAGAAATAGGAACGTTACCAAACCGACACTTAAAGATTATAATTAAAATTTTGTAGGTTAATCTTGAAGAATTGTAATGGGTGATATATATATATATATATATATATATATTTTTTTAGTACAATGATAATAATTCATATTAGGATTGTAGTTTTGTAAATATAAAATTTTCTGCATGCCCTTTTATATATTTTTATGTAATCTTTTTTTCTCCCTTCGTATATCACTCGTTTACGTCTATATCACTCTATTATTAAATCTTGTTACTATATTTACAATTACAATTAATTGGACTTCTTTTACCATAAATATTCAAACCGTTCGATTAATCTCTTACGTACACACTAAATTTATTGAAAAAGAAAATGCAGCGTTTTTTATGCACATCTTATTTTTTTCATTTTTATTTGAATTAGCGAATGGAAGCCGCCACTAAAGTTGAGTGTTGAAATTGCTGATGTCCAAGAGGGCCATAATTTGCTCACTTTTTCCACAAGAAAAATCAACCTTTTGTCATATTAAACCCTAACTCAAGTCTTATTTCGTGTCAAAAAAAAAAAAAAAGCACTCAAGTCTTATTCAAAGCTGGGGCATAATATATTTATTATTATTATTTTGAAAAACATACATTTCAATGTTCTTTGTCAGATTTAATTTTGCAATTTGCAATATGGCTTTGGAAATTATCTCACCTCAAATGTATATACTTTTACCGCCGGCTCATTCTAGATATGTTCAATTTGCAGTCTTTATTAATCAATATCTTTTTTTTATTAACGTTGATGAGTTCTATCTCAAAATTAATTCGTAACGAGAGAGAAGTAATTAATATATGTTATAAACATTTGTTAAGTCCTTACCTTTTCAATGTAGGATTTCGAACAAGCCTCTGAAGATCGTGGCTCTTTTAGTTCATTGATCTTGGTCGGATCCTATTTTTGGACCAAATACTCAGTTTGAGCATTTTAGACTATGATACCATATAATATTCATAAAATTCTGTCTCAAAATCAATTGACAATGAACAAAGGAATCTGTGTCTATTATAAAGCTTTGTTAGGCTTCTTATCTTTCCAAACGTCAGATCTTAATACTAGTCAATAAGATGGACTCTTCGGAGAGAGTACTCTCGGACCTAATCCCATTGTTGAATTTTCTCTCGCATATTTCTGAGTAGATATTGGTGATTTCTGTAGCTTTTGCTTGTATTTATTTTTATTTGATTGGTGGCTTTGTTATCTAACTAAATAATTTATTCTCTCTTTTTTTTTCCCATTTTTGATTGAGTTGAGGAACAACATGTACGTAGGAGCGAAGATTTGAACTTCCAATCTTTTTATCAACGATATATGTCTTAACGAATTGAGATATATTCAGAAAAGAAAGGGATTTTAATATCGGTCGTGGGGTGACCTTTTAATCTATGTACAATACACAAGTTTTAAGAAATGGTCTGGTTTAACTAATATTTGCAGTCAAGGGTTGGCCTGAATCAATATTGTTTAAATATTCTGAGAAATCTTTAATATAAGCAAAGGTTAATAAAACATTGAAGAAGTCAAGGATTTGAAGAAAAGTATTCGATTAGATACAAATGCAATAACTCTGTACTTTTTTTAGTTTTTTATTTTTGAGAAACTATTATGATTAATTGGGCTGATCAATCTGTTTTTCTTTTTCATTTTTAGTACCCAGAGATGAAGATTCGAATCGACAATTTTTTTTATTGGAGATAAGTGTCTTAACCAATTTAATTATGTTCAAGTTATGATTAATTCAACACAACGACTAATATAGAATGGTATATATTAAAAACCAATCTCATGTCTATAAGATTTCTCACATGCAATAACAATTATTAAATCGCTACCAATATTAAACTATAGAACTGTTACAACCTAAAATTTAGAAATCGAATTGTTACAAATTAAGCTATTTGGGACTAAATCACAACATATGTAGGTTTATAAACAAAATCTTTACTTCTATGTAATTGCAAGAACCAAATAGAATGTGTTTTTTAATCTTATCTTTCCAATCTTCACCCTAGATGTTAAACTCGACTTTTTTAATATATTATTAAAAATAGCAAATTAAAGTAACCAAAAGATATAAATAACTATTTATTATTATTATTATTATTATTAAGATTTCCGGCCATCTTGGTGGTGGTGGAATAAGTTGCGCGTGTATGCTCTACTTATGAAAATTCTACAAAGCCAAATTCTCTAATTACATGACATAATTATATATTCCACATTTACAAGCCTATAAATAACAAGCATTGGCCATCCCATTTTCTCCACAACAATCTCTTCTCATCCATTTTCCAAACTCCAAAACCCAAACAAAAATGGATCT